TCTCCGAGGCTGCTACTACTACTACTACTACTTCTACTACTACTACTACTGGCCAACTTTATGATCAACCCCACGGAGTCCGATAGTGAGAGTCGATAGCCCAGATACGACTCCGACGCGGCTCTTTCTTTATTAACAAAAGCTCGAGTGAACTTTTGAGATTTTTCCGCTCGCTTTTCTTTTTTTTTACAAAAGTTCCGATAGAATGAATAAAAATGAAGAAGCCGATTTGAATAACAACAAATTCAAATAAAGTATAAATCGTTTGCGCGACACGCCGTTATATACCATCAAGTTGTTTTTCCTTCTTTATACCCGGTCTGCAGCTTTTTTTTCGCTCGCAGCAATAGCAGAGAGGAAGAGAGGAAAAGAGAGAGGGAGAGTTTATACTAAATATTAAGCAAAATAAAAGTTTTTTGTATTTCGCAAGCCGCAAACATGACGCTTAATGCCGAGTGTAGCCGCACGAACGCCCACGCCATGTGTTTCGTCGACAACACATGGTGAAGATGACGCTACTCGTATATTACATAAATTTTTGCCAACCTGGGGGCTCACCTTGTTGTATATTAAAGCATGTACACGGTTTTTTGGCAAATTTTCATTTAAAGAAAAAAGTGGAATAACTTTTTGCAAATCAAAAACAAAAACACAGTTAATTGCAAAAACCATTTACTAACTATTTCAGAGCATCTCTTGGTACATAGACAAAAAAAATATAGCAAATTTAAAGCCGGATAAGTGGTTTAAAATTTCACGTCTGGCAAATTTTTTGACACCAGAGACTCGAGTTTTTCTCAGGTTAAAAATTTTCACTTTATCTAGCTTTATTTCAATTCGTATTTTCATTTCGAAATGAATTTAAATTGGCCTTGACAAATTTTCGCAAATCTGAAGCTCGAGAGCCAGTCAAAGGCCCAATCGCAGTTGCACCCAGGCTCGTTAAACAGCGAGGAAAAGACTGATCAACTAATTATCTGCCTTTCGGTTCTCTCTCCCTTCTGACTGTCAAAGCCGAGCGCAGGAAACACAGACGTGAAAATAGTCGCACACCCACTTACGTGGGATAGGGCACATTATCTCACATTTTAGGTACAGGCTACATGCATACAGACAAAAGCTCCGAACGTCTATCTTCTTGCCTAGATCTTACACATTTGTCTATATGTATACGTTCTAAGAGAGGACAGGACGAGAGCGAGCGCACATTTCTCGACAAACGGCATCGCTTTCAGCGCGTACGTAAGCTGTACGAATTATTAGTAATACCGGTAATTAATTACCCCGTTTGAGAGCTCGAGTTCCCGATTATACATTATATGTACGAGTCTCGGGGCTTTGCAGACGGTCTATAAACTGATTTGTTCCGTTTGAATGGGCTCGAAGCGCCGAGAGTCGATTTATAACTCGTTACAGTTATTTATTTACCCCTTTTTTTATTCCTGGCTTTCGCTGTGATAAAACTCAAATCGATGCATTTCTTTACACGTTTTATGTCGCGGAAAATCAATCCGTACCAGAGAAAAACGATGAAAGAAAAAATTGTATCTCTACGTATTGCGCGCGTTTCGAATTTTTGATTCTCGCGCACTTGCTCTTTTTTGTGAATGATTCGTATATTTTCACCTATATTTTTCTATTAATCGCTCGTGTAATAAAAAGAATGCCTAATTCGTACAAGAATGAGGAAAGTCATGTTACGTAACATTAATAGTAGTTCAGAAATAAATACTAGAATACTAACATTCTAATATACTAATGTATATATATACTAATCAGAATTAGTTTTGCCATTAGCGAGCTTACAATACTCCATCTGTTGATAGAATCAAAAAGTTTAGAAGCTCAATAAACAGTACTTTAAAAACCGCTGCTATAGTAGTTAGACTTAATTGTAAATTGATAACTTTATTTTTAAAGCATGTCTAAATTTTTTGTGTTTATGGATAATGAATAATCAAATTACTGAAAATTATTTCATTACATTAAATCATTTAAATTGAATTAAAGTTCTGTAACTCCTCGTTTTTCAGAAAAAGCATATTCACACTAGTTGCAAGAAGTACTAAAATTGTTTATTAATTAGTAGTCAATCGGGCTACTCACAGCATTAAAAGTATCAACCTAACAGATTCTGGTTCTGAGGAGTCTGTTCTTGCTACAATTAGCGCTTATCGCTCGCTTGGTTTCTACGGGTTGATTCTTCATACCCCACGCGCCATAGGAATTTCTACTTAAAAAGAAAAGGAAAAAAAAAACACGCGCAAATATGCACGTACATAATACATTGTTGCGCGCCGGGAGATAAGTAAGTGTGTGTGTAGGCGAATCTTCGATCGCGATAAGGGTCGCTTTGGGCTTCGAGCTAAACTTATCAGTCTGGCGAGGGCGAGAGAGTCTACACAGTGTATACAGATATATAGTCTGCTTGGGGCTCGGGATACCCACAGAGCTTCATTACGAGAATGCACGAGCAATCTGGCGCTTCCTATTTATCGTGTCATCGTTACGACGAGTGCTACTACCACTACTGCTGCTAGTATACCAGTAGTACCTATAGGTATATGGCGCAGGGGTGCGGGAGAGAGGCTAGCGGCGGCCCTACGTAAGAGCCGCCACGAGGGTACTCGACACTGGGCTTTTTTTTACCTCGCGCGCGCTTGTGCATGTGTCTGTGTGTGGGTGTGGGTGGGTATGTGGCGCTAGCGAGCAGTAGCAGTACCTGGCTTAAGTGATAAAACATGATTGGAATTGTCTGCATTAATTCGGTATTAGCGCCAGTGGATTCGCTCTCTTTTTTCTTCGTCGTGCGCGCGGATGCGCTCTTATGTGCCTTCGCACGATAATAGGAGAGAGAGAGAGAGAGAGAGAGAGAGAGAGAGAGAGAGAGAGAGAAAAACAATGGATTACCTCATGTTATACTCGAGCTAGACGATCTCGATAAGACTCTTCCTGGGGATATAAGCGCGCGCGCAGTTGTTTCGACGAGTCTTTAAGTAGCTGTTTAGCGCAAATTGTTTTCACGATTTTTTTCCCTTGCCGCGTAATCCGCGCGCACGCACAGAAACTGTCTTAAAAAACAATGATTGGAAATTGAATGGAAAAGTTGCGCGAGGGGGGTGCGGCGCAGAAAAGAAATTCTCGTCACGATTTTGCAACTTTTCTCTGTTTTCTTTTTTGCGCTTTCACAGGATAAGAATAAAATTTACTTTACGATTTTTACAGCAATTTATTTACGCCGTTCGAACGCGCGCAGGCACACAAGCTGGCGGCTCGCGCGAGCGGTTAATGTTGTTCGACACACTGTGTAATTGAAACAGTTTCTAAAGAATGTAGCGCCATTAAAGCTTCTTTCGTGGTGGTGTGTGTGTGTGTGTGTATCGTAGTACACTATATGTACAACAGCTCTGTATAGTAAAACTAACCCTCTTTCCGAACCGAAGTTTATATATTGTTGTAAAAAGCGGAATTTGTTGTGTGCGATATATACATATAGACGCCACGGCGATGTACTTTCCCTGCATCGAAATGAATCGGAAACCCAAACTATATTATACGGCGCACGAACTTTGCAAAATATTTCACGCTCGTTAAAAACAAACAAAGCAGATGATTAATAAAATAAAAAACCACTCACGAGACGTATGCACAATACGTTTCGAGTTATTTTCGAAATTCGCATTTGCAATATCGACGTTTCGGAATTATATTATGGCTCCCGATCGCTCTGCGCTGTATACGCATCTGCGAGTTATAGTAGTAGAACGATGTGCGGGGGCTGCTGCTGCATCGCAACGCTGTGCGCCGTGGGCGCAATTGCAAATCAATCAGAGAAACCAAAACTAGAAACTAATGCGACAATAATGAGGCGCTCTCGCATGCGCTTACGACGACATCGATAATAATCGTCGATTATCGTGCCTCGATACATATTCGCTCGCTCGCTTGCTTGCGCGCGCGTGAGTGCATGTGGCAATACCAATAACAATGCAATACAGCGCGCGGTTACGAGCTGCTCGAGCAAGATAATGCAAAACTTTTTTTACCTCCAACGTCTGGTGGGCTTATTATTCCCGATAAAACCAACGACGACGATGTGGAAGAGGAAGGCAGAGAGAAGAAAATGATCTAGCATGCCATGCTGTAAGGACGACGATAAATTTCGTATTCTAAAGAATATAGAGTTATCCGTCAGAGCATACGAGGCTAGGGCCAATATCTTCGAGATAAATTGAGCGAATTTCGAAGGGTAGAGGGCGAAAAAAAAAACATCGATCACGTCGCATTCAAAATCATTCGTCGCCTAGGTTAGTTATATTCACACAACGCGGATACGGCAGTTATGTTTCACGTTGCATAATTGAAATGCCACACTTGGCACTGTGTCGCACGCATTCGGAGCATGTGCGGTTGAAGTGTGTGCATGTGTGCACCTGTCAACCGGGCGAGCGTTTCTTTGGAAATTCCTCGACGACAAAGTCTCGAACGTGTACATATCGCCAAGTCGTTTTCGCGCAAACTTTTCCGATACATATCCCACGTTGGAAAGTACAAGGGGAGGAGTAAGAGAGAGGAAAAAAAAGTGTGCACCCGCGTATATAATTAATGATGCATGACCCGAGCTTTTATTTAATGCTAGTTCACCACCGCGTGGTGCGTATCATTGCTTAAAAAAAAAAAAAAAAAGAACGCGGAGGTCGGCCTCTGCTGCACGATGCCAAAAATAAAAAATATGTGGCCATCAATTTTGCGGCCTTTTCTCGCTCTTCAGTGGAAGATCATCCGCATACTATAGCCATTCCAAAGTCTATATGCGGCATTGACCGATAGAACAAAAGATATATGCATGCCCGTACCTATATGCAAAATCCATCGAGCCAGACACAGTAGAGGAGCTCGGCAGTATGTGCTGTATGTGCACGTACGGTATATACATAAGGAAAAGTGCGGAAGGGGATTTTAACTTGTATACCACGGTACTGAGTGGCGTAAATATTTACCTGTCGCGAATTGCTGAGGGTCACGCATGGGGCTCCGCCGCCGTCGTCGTCGCTGCTCTCGGGCACTTTTTAATTAACGCTGAGCTCCGGCAGCGGTGCAGTCGCTGTTGGCGTATGCATACAATGTATCACATATACACATGCAGCAGCTCGCGCGCGCGCACACACAAACACACAGAGACACGTTATATGTCATCCATATATATATAGTATAAAAAAAGCAGCAGCAGCCCTCGTTGGTGTATGAGCTGCAGCAGCAGCAGCTTCTTCTGTCTTGTATATATTGCAGCGCGTTATATATACGGCGTGGCCTCTTGCTTCAGGGGGGACGACGACGACCTTATAGAGGCAGGGGGTTCTACTTCAGCACTTCTCTATGTGCAGCCTGTCCTCGAGGTCTTTCGCTGTATACGGATATCTTTTTCTCTCTTTTTTTTTTACTCTCTTACACACTCTTTCACCTCACGCGCACCTCACAATTAGCTTTCTCTTCAATCTTTCAGACTCTCGTTTTCCAAGACTCATATGGCAGTAGCAGTAGTAGTAGTAGTAGTAGTAATAGTATAGAGTTGCAGTGCCAACCTCGTCGTCGACGCTTCTTTTTTCTTATTTTTCATAGCGACGAGGCTTATGTTTTTGTTATATTCCAGAGAAAAATAGGCGATATGAACTTGTGATTCGTTGGATATGTGGATAGATATCTATTCGCTATCGAGACTGGACAGTGATATTTCGATATGTTTTTTTTCTTATAATTTATCCCTTTCTTTTACCCGCACTTGCACTCGCGAAATTCATAGTTAAATTCACTTACTTGGAAAAAAATAATAATAAAATAAAACGACCGATTCATTGAATAACGAACTTTGCGTCGTCTCGATAGGCCGTGCGTTATAATAATTTCGTTTTGCGAGCAAAAAAGCAGAAGCTTACGAAGGCGAGAGACCAAAACTCGCGGCGAAAGCTCCTCGACTAACGAGGACTGCACGGACTCGTCGCTCTCTATACATATAATACCGTAGATATGTGTTATATATATACCACCACCAAAGAGGGTTGCGCCGGAAACGAAGGCTCGGCACGCGAGTTCGCCGGCCGACTGAATGTGTGCTGGCTGCTATCGCGCAAAACTCAGGCCGCCGACGCCGCCACCGCCGACACCGCCGCCGCGCGCAGGATGTATATGATCGTAGAGGCAGCAGCAGCAGCAGCAGCAGAGCGAGCCCCACTACCACTGCACACACTCCGTGCGCTACGTCTACCTATACCTCTACCCGCCTGCCAGTGGTATTACTACTACTACGACCTAGTGTACTACCCACCTGCGCGGGCAAACGAACGCGAACGTTGGCCCGAAAAGACGTCGACGTCGACGACGGTGACGCTGCAGGTCGTGTCTGTGTATGTGTGGGGTGAAATCATCCCCCCGCCCGGCCGCTCGCTACTGCTTCTGCCTATGTGCGAGGATGAATACGAGAATGCACCGAGCATGCGCCGGGCGAGGAAAAACACCCACACACTTGCTTGCTTGCCGCGCGCACGGCGGCAGCAGGCCCGACGACGACGACGACGACGACGACGACGACGACCAGGTTTCGGTGAATGAAAAATGTTCGGCGAGAAAGTTTTTTTTTGACGAGCGAGCAGCCGTTTTTAATAATAAATTCGCGCTCGACGGAACTTTGATTCGATATTGAAATGATAATATGATTTTTTTAAACGTATTTTAGCCTGTTTCAGTTTTTGTTTAATCCAGAGCCGGAGATCATTCGTGACAGCTTGAGAAATAAAGTATTGAACGAAATATCAGCCCCTTGTCGGAACTGTAGCTGCATCGTTGTATACACTTACAAAGAAAAATGAGAGAAAACGGCGAGAGGAAAATAGTTTCAAGTTACCGCTGTATTATTAATAAGAAATGCCGTTCGGTCTTTCTCGTTCGCATCCCTCTTCTTTCAGGTATTATTAAGGAGGCGGGAAATTCGTTTCGTTCGGTTGCACAGAGACACTCGGGCGTTTATTCAACGATCGAGTTTTACATAAACTTTGGGCGGGGGGGAAATCAAGCCGACCTCGACCGCGCATTAGAATAATAATTTACACGTGTAATCTCAGTGGGCAAAAGAAAAAAAATAAATGTCCACCGGCTTTAAGTCGCGTACACAAGCCCGACGATAAATTATCTTGAGCGAAAAGTGTAATAAACGTAAGATACGACGGCGCAGACACGCACGAGGTCATTCGCGTTTTTTATTGACTACCCGCTACTACAGTAGCACGCGACAACCATCAAAACTCTCTTCCTTTTTTTTCTCTCTCTCGCACTCCTCCCACTTTCTGGATTTCCAATTTCTTCCGTTGGCAAGTTCTTTTATTTTTTTTATTTTTATTTTTGTTCGTTGCTTTCTCTTTCGCGGTCGCACGAGCGTCAGTTCATCCCTCATTTCCGTGGAACTTGACGAGAATTGCAAGAGGAGGAAGGGGGAGGAAAAAAAATCTGCCGAGTCACGGCAAAATCATCGCCCACGCGAGAGAGCTTGCACGATGGGTGCCACTATTATAGCCTGCAACCTCACACATATACCCAAAAAAATGGCCATTTAATGCCTCTTATACGTAGATGAAATTTAAGAAGGCTGACATTACCGTCAAAAGCTCGAGTGTTTTGACACTAAAATAACTCGATAAGTGGGCAAAGGTAAATATTTAAAATAAAAAGAAAAAAAGAAAACGTGAAATCTCATAGAAAGTGTGAAAACCGAACGCAAAATTTAGTTAGCGCCAAGCGCATCACTTACATTTTCACGGTATCGTGAGTTAACAGCCCCTACTGCGAAGTAAGTGTATAAAGTATTTTCACCCCCGAGTTCCAAGTGAAATAAGAAGTTAAGTTAAGGAAATATAGACAGGTGAAAATATAGAGGTCGACCGGGTAGAAGGGAACAAATAAAATAAGACGCGAATTGCAGGGAAAGAGAAAAAAAACGAAGAAAAAGGGCGCACAAAAAAAAGTTGCGAGAGGAAAATTCGGATTCTCCAGCTGACTTGCGAGTTCTCGCGCCGCACACACATACATTTATACTCCAAACCCATCCACACACGCGCACTTTCTCTCGTGCAGAAAGAGCGAGAGGGAGAGCGACGTATATACACACTGGCAGCCACCTCGTCCAATAATTCAATCGTATCGAATCTTGAAGTTCCGGCGACGAGTTTCTGTGCGCTGCGCTGCTGCTGCTGCTGCTGCTCGACTGCACTAGACCAACACACGTGCGCGCGAGCGATCGATAATACATACAGATCCAGCACACATAATACGCCGAATGTGTGTGCTTGCGCGCGAGTAGTATGCAGGTAAGAGAGTTTAGTTGATTCGACACTCCACTGCAGGGCTTTTTTACATCCCATTCTAATCTGTGTTTGTTCGAGTTGTAATTTCGGCGCGTAAGCCTCGGGATTTCTCGTAGATGCGGGCGCTACTTACGCGCCGTTAATCGAGTGTTTTTTCAATTGACTGGATGAATTAAATATCCAAACATCGAATGACATACATCGTTGCATTGGTTACTATGTTTGATATTTTAAAGTTAGTTATTGGACAAGGAAATAGTTTCTTCAACGTAAACGGACCGTTAGAACTAGACAATTATATAAAGTATTTTAACATTTTGTCTGTGATTGTTCGTTCGGTACGACTAATGGACTTTGAATATAGTTATTGGTTAAAATTTCACCTTTTTCCTATATTATCAACAACTTGATTAGTATATTCGATGTCAGGTTCTATTATGTATTCGTTAATGATGAAGTTAATACATCATATATGTGTAAACTGTGCTTTGACTTATACAGTTATTTTCATTTTGCTACTTTCAGATTTACTAAATAAAGGTACTCGCCATCTAGTGGGGGAAGTTTAAAGTAGTATATAATAGTATTTAAAGTGGTTGAATACTGGTCGATATTTTTCAAGCAAGCTCATCAATGGTTATGTATTTCAAAACATTTAAAATGGGCAATTTTTGATCATTAGGGTATTATTAATGTTAAACATTTCTACCGAGAATATTTTTATAACGAATTTTGAAGGTGAAACGCGCAGCGGCGGCGGCAGCAGCAGGAATCAATCACGATGCATTTGAAGTGTCTCGGGGTATAAGCCCTCTCCTAGGCGCTTCGTTTCCTTGAAAAAGTCGAGAACGAGCGATCCGAGAGGCGAATACACACATACACACACATACAGCTATGCTATATTGGGGCTCAGGCCAATCTACTTGGCGGCTGCTTACACTCTCAATCGCGTGCACATCCATATTTGAGAAGTTACGTGAAAGGTCAATCTCGAGGCGAGCTGTGCGCGCAGTATATAACGCTTTTGCGAAAGTGTGCTGCTGTATGTATACACGTAGGTAGGTAGAAGACTTGGACTGCGATGGTGGACGCCTTGATTTTTATACCTTATATACGTAGCTTATTGTAGCCTCTCTAGGAAAAACGAGTCTATTAAACAGCCTGTCAAAGCTCGTATATGGGTAATTTTTCCTCCGACGAAAAAATAAGGGAGAAAAGAAAAAAAAATTGATCCATCGGTGCAGCGATCCCTAAATTTTTTTCCCCTCTCTCTTACACGTAAAAATTATCTCCTTATAACAAGACCATTTTTCCTCTCGGATAGCCTCTTTTTATACTTCTTACTCTCTCTCAAATCCCTCAGTTTCCTCCTCGACACGCTTCGATCCTTTTGCACCTACCCACACACACACACACCCACACACGTACACTCGTATTCTTGGCTCTGCCCGACTGACTCGCGCGTTCGAGTTCCCGCTGCCACGCTGCACATATACTTGTAGCATACATTCTTCCATCTCTCGCACATACTTTCGAGCTATTCACGCCTTTAAGCGCGAGCGAGAAATATTTCTTGCTCCGCCAAGTTATATGGACTACTGCTCGCCTCGGAGCTCGCGCGCGAGAATATACCCCTATATATCAGACTTAGCGCATTATGATAGCGGCGGCGGCGTTGGTGGCGTCAGGAAGAGAGAGAGAGAGAGAGAGAGCGAGGTATAAGCGCGAAGAAACCACCCATAAGCACCCACATGTACACACTTACACACGAGCTCGCATGTGTGTAGGTGTGCGAATATACGTGCGAGTTTGGCTAAGTTCGAATTTAATGTATGC